AATTAGGTTAGCGTCGCATCCTTCTTCAAATGAGATTTGCGGAAAGTATTCAGAGCCTATGCCTTTTAGCGTTTTGAGGTCCGTAAAGGACGGTAAACACTCACGAATACAGGCAGTTAGTACCTACCTCTGTATGCTTATACGTTCTACAATTCTTAAGATACTATGTGAGTATCACACGGCCTATATTGAATGGAACCCGAACATATTTTTGAATTAAAATCAATGCCAAATTTTATTTATACATATTAGTATTATTTTTTTTGATTTTACACGATACGGATACAGAAAAATACTTTTAATTTAATCTCTTTAATATCGCGTTTGTTTTGTTGACTTAATTTTGACTAATAATTACTTTTCCACCCAAACCAAACAATTACTTTTTAATTTTTGGTTATAATTTTCCTTTACCGCCTTAGAATCGTTTTCGTTATATTTCTTTATATTTAATTTTGTTTTGAACCAAATAATGAACCGCTTGTTTCGCCAATGCATGTGCATTATGTTAGCCTATAGTGTGAGGTTAATGTATGTGCTATTTGCAATGAACTGTGCTGATTTATAGCATGTTGGTACGTAATACAAAATATATCGACGCTTGAAAGGCAAACGTGACTAAGTGACAATGTTTAAAACTTTACAGCAGACTAATTTAAAGTTGAAATACCGGAAAATTTTTTTTAACGAATCTAGCTGTAGTAGTATCTAGCTAGTAGCTGTAGGATTGAAATGATTTAATAGACTTAGAAATATATATTTTTTGCGCATCGAATATGGTTATTGCCTATCATTTATGTACAAAGCAGTTATTGTCACTTAGTCACGTTTGCCTTTCAAGCGTCGATATATAAATAACATAGTTGACAATTTACATTGAATTTGGAATTAAGTTCAATTAGAGTTAGGTCACGCAACGCGAAACAAATTTCCAAGTTACGCGTAACAAATTTTTCATTGTAAAGCAAGATTCCGTACTGACAGAGCGCGATCGCTATGACGATAATGTAATTAAACTCCCGATTATAATACCGCTAAATTATGCTGCTACTAGATTCCGTAGAATGTGTGGGCGGTCAGGTTTCGTCGAATTTTATAGTTCGCTTTATAATAATTTAGTTTTATAGTTATTAAAGAAGATAGACAGTACATGTTTTAATGGATAAACTAAGTTATTAATTGGAAGATTTATTCAAATATTAGTTGAAGGACAAGGTGGGGGCGGGCGGATAATGGGGGATAATCGTTATACTATTTTACTATTGAGATTTCGACCACATGATTGAGTGGCGGTTATTATTTTGTGATGTTTTTGAGGCTCGGCAACTACTTGATGTTAGGTGCTGTTAGATGCTTCGCGAAAGAAAGACGTATGTGATACCTGCCCGGCTTTTTGATTGCCTGCCCGAGCCCTACTCTGCTAAAGCCGGTCCCAAGCCCGGATGAGAAAAGAGGAGGGTTGAGTTGGAGTTCGACCTTTCTACCGTAAAACAGTCAACGCGGAATGTCGGGCGTTATTTATGTTTTTTCCTACCTAAGCTGAGAACCTTGAGATGCTATATCAGCGTAATCTTAAGTGAGCTCACGGGGCTCAAACCGGACGACGTTGCTAACACGAACCCTAGCAAGAGCCGTGCTTAGCAGAATCTACCAACGGATCGGAAACGCGACCCACTGAGAAGGTCCGGCGAGAAACTCAGTGAGCTGTGTCTGAGAGTTAATTTACTCGTCGAGCCCTTCGTCACAAGCGACGGGTTCGACGAGAACGATGACCGGTGCTTGAGGTACCTAAAAGCACCGTTAGTGGATCGGGAGGATCCGAAATGACGTGTTTGGGGCGACGTCGACTGCTTTCCATTCTGTCCGCAGGATCGGGAATGTAGTTACCGGCGGCCACGATGAGAGGGTTCTCGTGTCGTGCCGCTTTATCGAAGTGGAGTCGGGCGTCGGTTAATTAGGCGGACCCAAATAAGGCTTCAGTGACCTCGAAGAACTAAATCTCTTCCGAAAGCATTGCCATGGAAGAACGTGGGACCCTATCATGTGTATATTTCCAAGAAAGCCTTATCAGGCCACGACCCTCAACATCGAGGATTATCGGAGACCCTAGCCCAAAACACGAACTTCCACCAGTGGCAGTAATGTACCTAAGTAAAAAACCCTTTATGCCCGATTACACGTACACACATTTAGCCTATAACTATGTACTCGCTGTCCTTTGAAGCGCGTGGGCGTTAGTTACACGTTCCGAATGAAATTTCTCGGTAAAAATGTGTAAGCGATGACTTCAGAGTTCAGTTAAAGTTCAACAAATTGACGACCTTTTACAAAACGTGGTATGGTATTAATATTAAAAACTGTGTATATAGTCGTGTATATATTATATAAATATATTTGAAGTCGTCGTGACCTAAAGGATAAGACGTCCGGTGTGTTCGTATCGAACGATGCAACGGTGTTCGAATCCCGCAGGCTGGTACCAATCTTTCTAATGAAATACTTAACAAATTTTCACGATTGACTTCCGTGGTGAAGGAATAACATCGTGTAATAGAAATAAATAAAAAACCCCACTAAAATATAATTTGCTTAATTACGGATGGTAAGAGGTCTTGTGAGTCCGCGCAGATAGGTACCACCACTTTGCCTATTGCCGTGAAGCAGATAGTGATAGTAAAGACACGTCAGTAAAAGACCTTATGTAAAATCCGGTCCAATCTATTCTTTTCTTGGAGCCTCTACCTTCGAGCTAAGTTTTGGTTCAAATCTTATCTTTCTGTTTGTTTTTAGATCCAAGTCTTACCGGAATCCATGACGCGGATAATAATTCCAGCTTAATAATGTTTTATTAATGTATTGAACCCCCTGCTCTGACCGGGCTCTGACCCCGGACGGAGATCGGACGTCGGGTGTAAGAGTGCAGGGAAGTCGTTTAGTGCAGTAGGGTCCTAAAACTTTTTGGGCCCGCGGTCTACTCCCAACATTAGGAGATTGTCAAGCCCCACATACCCCGCACGCCCCCTTAGGCGCGGGGACCTCGTAAGAGATCATCATTGAGTTAGTATTTTTGTTCATTAAAATAGGTGGTATTATCACAAAGAGTGATCTCTCCCATCCAACCAACGGGTAGACAAGAATCGGTGCAGGAAAAAATTGAGCGTGGTGTGCTTGACGAGATTGAAAAAAAATATGTTTAAATATAAATATCGTTTTTCAACACAACAAAACATAAAAGTTAACAATTAACACAATTAGTGTATTCGTTTAGAATTTGATCTTAATTACAGTTGAAAGGTGGTTTAGGGGAGAATGACTTGTCCATAGCAAATCTCTCCGCTCCTAGCTGAGCCCTTGCTCGTCCACTTGTCCTGGTTTCTTCCCCCTTGCGTCGATAATCCTCAATGCTGAGGGTCGTGGCCTTCTCTAACAATTTCCTCCTGTATTGTCCTGCGCCATTCCTGCCTATCCTCGGCTGTGTGGATAGCAACGGAGACTGAAGTATTGAGAGTGGAACGTATCTGGGCCTTCTTCCGCATACCTTGCTTGTTACGACCGACCTGATTTCTTAGTGAAACTGGAAAGACCTCCGGGCCTCCAGTAATCCTTAAGTTTTTTTTTTGCTTAAATGGGTGGACAAGCTCACAGTCCACCTGGTATTAAGTCGTTACAACGTAAATGCGAATCCCACCTTGAGATACAAGCTCTAAGGTCTCAGTATAGTTACAACGGCTGGCCCACCCTTCAAACCGAAACGCATACTACTTCACGTCAGAAATAGGCGGGGTGGTGGTACCTACCTGTGCGGACTCAAAGTATAACATCAGTATAACAAAAAGACTTGTTCACTCACCGACGTCACAGACCAGGCTGCCGGGCTCGAGTTCAGAGAGGAAGGCCTGCACGGGCGGAGCGGCGGCGCCGTCCTCCTCGCCGGCGAGGTCGTACACGTCGTGCACGTAGGTGCGCTCGATCCCCGCGTTCCGGGCCGCNCCGGTCACCGTTCTCGTCGAACCCGTCGCTTGCGACGAAGGGCTCGACGAGTAAATTAACTCTCAGACACAGCCCACTGAGTTTCTCGCCGGATCTTCTCAGTGGGTCGCGTTTCCGATCCGGTGGTAGATTCTGCGAAGCACGGCTCTTGCTAGGGTTCGTGTTAGCAACATCGTCAGGTTTGAGCCCCGTGAGCTCATCTACTAAAGTTAGGGTTACGCTGACATAGCCGCTAGGGCTATCAGCATAGGTAGGAAAAAAAAAAAATTTGAAGGCTCGGGCTGCTATTGCACTATAGAAAGTTAAAAAAGTCTCAACGTACGTGTCCGTATTAACGTTGTTAATGTATGGGCTTCGGTAACCACTTAACACCGGATAGGTCGTGCGCTCATCCAACCATCCAAGCAATAAAAAATTTTTGTATTATAGTTTTTCTTTTCAATTTTCACAGATAAGATTTATCGAGCAAAATCTCTGTTTGATTAGCAGAACCTCGTAGCGGGTGTAACAAATGTTTCTTTGCTGACTAAAGTTTTGTTAGGGATCACAGTTTACGGTAACGTAACATTCTCGAGTCTTAGCTTTCCTCTGACACCAAACAAGTCCGCTCATCACATTAAACCATAATTTTACCCTTGCCCAAAATCACTGTTACGAGTGATATTGCCATTGACGGAATCAGTAATCACAAGTGTATTTATTGAAAGAAAGAAAGAAAGAAAGAAATCATTTATTCGCTAAGCATAGTGAAAATGAGTTATTACATAAATTAAAAGCAGCGTGTATGCTTTGTCATTATTTGACATGCGAATTTTAGTGCAGTGCATAGTTATAATATTATATAATTTACCATTCATTCATCCATAATTCAACTAATAATTAAAAATCCATTTATTTTCAATGTCATCCCTAAGAAAATCATTTATGTGATAATAATTTTCACTAATAAGATTACCTTTTAGGTTTTTTTTTAAATTAAAATCATCTAAGTCTCTTAATTTCTNGCGGCGGCGCCGTCCTCCTCGCCGGCGAGGTCGTACACGTCGTGCACGTAGGTGCGCTCGATCCCCGCGTTCCGGGCCGCCTCCTCGCCCGCCACCGCTTCCGCCTCGCCATCCGCCATCACCGCATCGCCATCGCACCGCGCTGAAACACATTCGGACCACTTAAGAGATTCCTTTCGTCGAAGTTAATAAGCGGTAGGCAGCGGCTTGGCTCTGCTCTAGCTAGGGCTAGAGTTAGCAAATTCTGTCATGAGCTCACCTACCCGTCCGTGAGAAGCTGGAATAACCCTGTAGGCTACCAGCAAATGGGTAGAGGAAAAAATAGTCATCCCGCGGATTGATACTTGAACCTTATCTCTGGATAATGGCATTAATGTTTGGCTTTATTTGCTGTGAGTTCGTCTGTCTATGATCTACGAAAAAAAACGGTACTGAAGAAAAAGGTAATGGCGTAAAAACCATTTAGAACTTTTCTTCTGCAATTTAATCGAGAATTCAATCTAATCTGCAGTCTGTTGCAAATATACTTTTTTTTTTAATTCTCCTCGCGTTAAATTTTGAATCGAGCAAGAATTCTCGGTAATTTATTGGAATTCCGTGACTTCGTTACTGGTAGCCTATTTATGAATGGATAATTCGATTATGAGATAGAATTAATTGATTGATGTTGATTTAATTAGTTGTGGTTTTTTGATTTACGAGTAAATTTCGTTTCGTTGACCTGCAATTTTTTTTTAATGGGACGATCGCGGCCCTTGCCTCGACGTTGCTTCTTGGCTAGGACTTATGTACAAATTCGTTAGTTCAGAGTAGGCCTACTAACTAAAGAGCAGCTGCTTCGCGAGTGATACTATTATACTACCGGATCGGAACCGCGCCCCTTTAAGAAGATCCCGAGAGAAACTCATCGGGCTCTACTTTATGCACGAATAAAGGTCTACATAAAGTAAAAGTTTAACTTTTAAATTCTCATACAGCTTTGTAATTCGATAATTTATGATTGCATTCATTACTTGGGTTGTCGCGGACCAGGAATCAAAGGTTAGGTAGACTGCTCTTTGTTGAAAGTGAGAAACATAGACACACACAAAACAACGGTTTTTTTATTATTATTTTTTTATTACTTAGATGGGTGGACGAGCTCACCGCCCACCTGGTGTTAAGTGGTTACTGGAGATCATATACATCTACAACGTAAATGCGCCGCCGCCACGCATCTTGAGATATAAGTTCTAAGGTCTCAGTACCGCTGCCCCCACCCTTCAAACCGAAACGCATTACTGTCAACAATTTACGCAAATTTGACACAATATATCGTACCATACCAAAATTTAGTAATGAAAATGCACATCCATAAAGTATTTTATTTATTTTTTATTTATTGCTTAGATAAGTGGACGAGCTCACGGCTTATCTGGTCTCAAGTGGTAACCAGAGCCCATAGACATCAACAAAGTAAATTCAACTTTGGGTCATGAGTCCTAAGTTTCAGTTTTACAGTACAACCAACTGCCCCATCCTTCAAATCGAAAAGCATTTACGGCCGAAATTAGCAGAGTGGTGCTACATACCCCTGCAGGCTCACATTACGCCCTATCACCAGTATATGAGTCGTCTATTATCAAAGGTGGCAATCTGTGCATTTGGACAAAAAAAATGTATTGATATGTCAATACAGATTGATTTGAATATAATCGTCTCCTTCAAAGAATACGTTCAAAACCTGCATTAAATAAAGGTTAATAGTTAACCTGTTATTTATCTAAGATGTCGTTCCGAAGAGTTTTGTGACTGCTAATGGAATACAAAGTCAATAATTTGTTTTTTTGATTTACCAATCATTGTCCAAAAGTCAGATTGCCGGCTTTGATAATAGTCGACTCATATATTAGTATATAGTACACACTTGTATATAAAAATTAATAAAAGTATTGTATACCTATAAATGTACCTATATGCCTATAGATGTACCTATAAAAACAAAAACAACACAAAAATCGTTTCGAAGCGAGCCCTTACTAAGGGATCGGTTTTATTAGGGGCGACGTCACGTCACGACTAAAGATATGTCGTTAGTGAACAGAATGCGACATGTGTTGAGAGCGTATGCTGTTTTATTAACAAACTTCAAGACCGCCTCGTTCACTCGCCGCGTCCGGAAAAACTGTTAAGTGTGAGTTTTAACGTTCTCGATAGCGTAAAAGTTAACTCAAATTTGTATGGAGTTGGAACGTTTGGCTACGTTTGCCGCTAGACATGCGTTTGCGGACTCGCAAGAGGTCCTACCACCAGTAATTACGCAAATTATAATTTGCGGGTTTGATTTTTTTTACACGGTGCTATTCCTTAACCGTGGAAGTCAATCGTGAACATTTGTTGAGTACGTAATTCATTAGAAAAATTGGTATCCGCCTGCGGGATTCGAACACCGTTGCATCGCTCAACACGAATGCACCGGATGTCTTATGCTCTAAGGCCACGACGACTTCCGCACGATCCATGTACTTATGCAGCCCAAACGTTTTTCAATGTTAATTTAAATCAAATATTAAATCATTTTTATTTAACCAACGCGAGCTTGAGCTATGCTACCCGTCTGCCGAAAAAATGAGATGTAAAATGACCCTTGCATTAGTGTGCTTAGTGCGAATTTTTTAACGTTATCGATAACGTAAAAGTTAACTCAATTTTTTTTTTTATTGCTTACCTGGCTGGACGAGCTCACAGCCCACCTGGTGTTAAGTGGTTACTGGAGCCCATAGACATCTATAACGTAAATGCGCCACCCACCTCGAGATATAAGTTCTAAGGTCTCAGTATAGTTACAACGGCTACCCCACCCTTCGAACCGAAACGCATTACTGCTTCACGGCGGAAATAGGCGGAAATTTGTATGGAGTTGGAACGTTTGCCTACATTGCCACTAGGGGCGCTGTTCCAACTGCATACAAATTTGAGTTCACACTAATACCACGACAATCGGAAACAATATCAACAAACCAAACATTAATAAAAACTTCTAAGGCATAAGTCTAACTACGTTTTATTTAAGGTTTAATCTCGCGTTTACGGAAGATCTTCGAGCGGGTGAAATTGCTCGACAGACTGACGCGTAGGTGCGAATGTTCTTTTTCGAAACTTATATAAAAGCAAGCTTATTTATTTATTTTATTTTAACTACTGATTTATTTTGTTAGCATAGAAGTAGAAACACAAAACTTTGCATCTTTGCTATCAACTAGGTGATAAAACCTCCCTCGACCGAATATCCGTAAATGGATTCCCTAGCGTTTAAAAAAAAGGTGATAAAACTTTAGTCTCAAAAAAGTTCAAAATTACTAGGCAAAAACTAAACCGAAATTAATAAATTAGTTAAAAGTGACAATATGCGAGTTTAAAATATTATAATTAACAAAAATGTGATATTGAAATTAATGTATGTATTAATGTACCCTATGTGTGTAATGAGTGTGAGCATGAGTGAGTGTAAGAGGGTGTGTGTGGGTGTAATCAAAAATATTAAAAGTTAATTTAATAAATTTTTAGTGTCCTTATAGTATATAGCTTATCTTGCGATTTACGTTAGCGAGAGTGATTTTGACTCTCCTCAAAACGTCGGATTAACTCGAAATTTGGCGTACCTATCAAGAGCCCGATGACAATTCAATATTTTAAACAGTTAGAGCCATTATTTACTTTCGACAGTCAAAACAACAAATTCATTTGAGGGCTTTCTTTTTTTCTTTTAGCAAATTGGAAATTGTTGTATTTGCTTAAAAGCACCCCATGCTTTTTACTATATTTTCTTAATTATATATATATGCAACGAGTGCTCTGAGGAACTGTTTGAGATGATCCCTCATCTCCTTTTTATCGTCGCACCTCCCGCCATCGGAGCAGAGTTCATCCCTATTATCTGGAACCGCTGCGTTCATCGACACTGCGTTTCCAGAGATCGTTTTTGGCACGTACCATCCGGCTATAGAATGAGATCTCCACCACGGTGTTTCCCGAGCGCTATGACATGTCCTTCTTCAAACGAGGCTCGTGGAGAGTATTAAGCGGTAGGCAGCGGCTTGGCTCTGCCCCTGGCATTGCTGAAGTCAATGAGCAACGGTCACCACTTACCATCAGGTGGGCCGTATGCTCGTCTGCCTACAAGGATAATAAATAAATAAAATCTTGTCTGACGTCTTCCGGAACGCGGTCACGCGGTCGTCACTCAAGAACTTTCTTTATTAGAATTAGATGAATATTTTTGTGCAACATTAACGATTAAATCGCCAAATATTACAATTGCTCAATGCATATTATGTTATGATGATGTTACATATGGCTAAATTTTTAGTAATGGATGGGTCAATGGTTATTTTGTCGACAATTTTTGTCTTATCTGATGTTACTGGTCGTAGGGTGTCTTGCAAGCTCACACGGGTAGGTACCACCACCCTGCCTATTTCTGCCGTGAAGCAGTAATGTGTTTCGGTTTGAAGGCTCGGGCTGCTATTGTACTATAGAAAGTTAAAAAAGTCTCAAGGTACGTGTCCGCATTAACGTTGTTAATGTACGGGCTTCGGTAACCAATTAACACCGGATAGGCCATGCGCTCATCTAACCATCTAAGCAATAAAAAAATGTTGTATTATAGTTTTTCTTTTCAATTTTTCACAAATAAGATTTATCGAGCAAAATCTCTGTTTGATTAGCAAAACCTCGTAGCGGGTGTAACAAATGGTTTCTTTGCTGACTAAAGTTTTGTTAGGGATCACAGTTTACGGTAACGTAACATTCTCGAGTCTTAGCTTCCCTCTGACACCAAACAAGTCCGCTCATCACATTAAACCATAATTTTACCCTTGCCCAAAATCATTGTTGCGAGTGATATTGCCATTGACGGAATCAGTAATCACACGTGTATTTATTACGTACTAGCTGGCCCGGCAAACGTTGTTTTGCCATATAAATTATTTCTAGGAAAGATAAACAACCTAGATACCGACTGCAGTGCCATCTGCCGGGCTGATTTGTGAATCTAAACCATCCAGAGTACCAACCAAACGCATACAAAAAAAATCATTCAAATCGGTCCAGCCGTTTAGGAGTTCAGTGACAAACACACGCACAGAAGATATATATATATAT